AATTTTTTTCTGAATTTCATTTATTGCATCTGGTAATTTAACAATATATATTTGTAGTGTATTACTAGTATTACTCATGTAGTATTGGGTCTATAATTGAATAACTGGATATTTTTACGGATATGACAGAGAAAGTGGAGGCAGAAAATTATAGAAAACCGATAGGGTGCAATGAGCAAATGCTGCAATCCAGATTCGAACTTGCATTGTCTGTAGGAGCACCAAAGTTTAATGTAACCACTAAGCCATGGGTCCTGTAAGCATTAATCATGTTTTTTGTGTCTTTTTCCCAAAACATTAGCATTCTAATTGAGCACGTCTTTATTTTGAATTTCAAATAATCAATAGAAAAAAAATAGGTCTAAAATGCAACTGAAGGTGATGCCGTGAAACTGCAGGAAAATAAGAGAGACTTTTTAATCACAGTGTATAGCAAAAGCTCATGTATTGCAGCACATAAAAAGAAGTATTGCAATAGCATCATGTGGTGAGATCCCTGGCGCTTTTCACTGCGATTTCCTAGCATTGCAATGAGAAGTTGAAGGAAAGTGACGTCCATTGCACCGAAGTGAGTGAAGTATGAGAGGAAAGTTCTTGAGCTGAGCTTCTAAATAATGCTCTGCATGCATGCGGTTACATGGTTTTTAAGAGACTAAAAATCACAACAAAAGGAGAACTGAAAGACAGTACGGAAGAGACTTTAAATGAATATATTTGCACCAGTGAGCAAGAATAACTAGAAATAAAAGATGTGTCTAAACACCCCATGAAATTGGACTGTAGTGGCTTTTAATCCATTTCTATTAGATTTGATGCTATTTGAACAATATGACAAAATTAACGTTTTGCAAATAAACTGTACAGTCTTTCTCATTTTAAGTGATCTTATGGCTGTCGGTTTGATTCTGTCCAGTTTTTAAGTGAATTGGTTGCGTAACGCACATTCGAAAACTGCGTAGGCTGTAATGTGGGTTGATCTCTGACCCAGATGAATGAACATCCAAAATGAAGTGCTACTGTATTTGAGTGAAGAATCAGTGCTATACTAGCTGAGAGTCAGGCTTCAAGAGAGCTGTGAACAAAAGTCCCGGACAAAAACAAACTATACAGTGAGCCTGACTCTACAAAGTATTTGGGCACTTAAGCCACATTCAATGCATCAAATATCATGCATTATATAACAAAACATCAAAGAAAGACAACACAAGCACACTTCACAAGCAGATAACTCAAAAGGATGCTTGAAACATCTCTACATTTCCATTTCAATTCAATGGATAGTTTCCAGTCGTCCTGACAGTTAAACGCTTCTGATTTTGAACGTACCTGTATGACAGGGCTCCTGCAAAGTGGCTTTCAATGTAGGTGTCCATGACTGGTTTAAAATGTTGAAACTTGCTGTCCTGGAGCAAGTTTATAATGTGCACCTGAATGATGAAAAATGCACATGCACAATAAGCAACATGCAATTTCATTGGCCTCTATTGTGCAAAAAAATTAGGGTCTGTACCTACCAGACAATCAAACACCTTGAGTGCATATCTCTGAGAGCTCTCGTCCAAAATGCCGAAAAGCGTGTCCAGTGTATCCTGTAAAAACTGATTCAAGATATTTGACTTTATTAGTAAACATGCGCCAATTAGGGAAAGATTACTGTGATTGACAGGTTCATTAACCAACAGCAAGTCTGTGAAGGGCAGCTGACCTTAACTATTTCTGAGCCATCGATCTCTTTGAGTTTAGACAGGCTGTCACTGATTCTCTCCGGATGGGCTCTCCACTTCAGTAAGTCCAGCATGTCACCTGCAGGAAACAGCCAATAAGCAATCAGTGTAAAATATGCAAAATGCTGCTTGATACTTCATGCCAGCTACCCAAATGTTCCCATGTTCAGTGATGATTCATGCTGGGTGCTGCTACATGCTGCATATCCGAGAAAACTTCAAACTAGGGACGTTTTGTCCTATCATATCCTGTACAAAGAGACACACATTACCGTTCTGAGTGAGTTTGGTAGAACAGAGGAATGATGTGATCCATAGGGATTCCTTAGTGCCTTTCATAGTTTGGTTGTTGCCGGGCAGATCTGATTTCGAGAAGGGCAGTTTGAGGTAGCGAGCACAGTCTTGCAGGTTAGCGTTCTCTTCACACTGGAAAACATGCATGAAAAAGATCCTGTCAACCATTTCATCCAATTTTTTAATATAGGCAACATATTTTTAATAATAAACACACCACACAAACAAACAAACAAATATATATGTATGAATTCATATGTATGAATATGGGATTTATAAACAAATTATAAACCTACACATTTATACATCTATAAGCAGATAGATCTATATATTTATATATGTACAGTATGTAACATATGGTTGGGGTTACCCCAACTCATAAATGTGTATATACACTTTAATTATAAATATAAACAAAAAAACAAATATTCATGTTTTTATATAAAATTATTTAATTGTTTATTTTTAGATTATTTATTTATTTTTAGATTATATTATTTACTCATTTTAATATTTCACAAGAATTTACCACAGCTAAACAGTAAAATAAGAATTATTCTCCATATACATTTCTGATAACTTATTTAAAATATTATTGTTTAACATTTAGTTATACAATTATTTTAATGAATTTATGAATTTTACAATTGTACTTATGTTTTTTTTTTTTTTACATAATGGTTTATTACCTATGCACATTTATATATATATATAAAACAAACCATTAACTACAACTTTTGCCTCAAACTCCCAATTTGATGCGTATCAATAGTTAGTATGGTAGTTTTGTTAAGTTTAGGTATTGGGTAGGTTTAGGGATATAGAATATGGTCATGCAGATTATGTGCTTTATAGAACTAATGAACAGCCAATATGTTAATAATAGGCATGCTAATAAGCAACTAGTTAATAGTGAGAATTGGTCCCTATAATAATGTGTTACCATACATGTAAAATGTATTTATTTATTTATTCCAGGGGAAGCTTTTAAATTTAGCAAAACATCTTCTTTTGTGTTCCACAGAAGGCACAGTCATATGGGATTGTAACAAAGGTAAGTACAATGATGACATATTAGATCTATTTTTGGCTGAACTACTGCTTTAATTAGCATCATGCAATCGCTCCACATTCAGTCAGCAGTTCTGTTGCCTCTAGCAGAAACGCAAACAGCTGACTTATTTCTTTTTTATCATCTATCTTGCTCAAACTGCTACACGTACTGTAAGAGGTCAGCACAAACTGCTTTCGTACATGACTAGTGACACAGCACAGTGCAGTATTACAGAAAGTATTATAAAAGGCTACATGGGCATTACTAAGCTGCAAAAATGGGACATTCGGAAATCATCAGAACATTATTATAGTCTTTTATTTGTTCAGCAAAAGATTCTTTCATAAACTGGTGTTTAGAACTACTACTAATGGAGTGTGAGTGGTGACAGTACAACATGACACAAATAACAGCAGGTCTTTGTGTCTGTGCATATGTGTTTGTGTCCACAAACACTTTCACAGTCTGCAATTACCAGAGCTGTGCCCGAAGCATGCTTTTAAACTGGGTGTGCCGTGTTTTCCGACATGGTTATTTAACTCTTACACTTTTTAATAAGAAGCCACTTTTTGAATTTAGGGCTTTTCGAGGCAATGCAGAATGAAGAAGGTGTCAGCCGGGACAATTTGTCATTTGACATACAGTTGCTATTAAATTGCATTTGTTGCAGAAAAGCCAACGAGACATTTTGACAGCTGTACCTTATGAACGATGAGCTCGTGGGTGCCGTCGGGCAGAGTCCGCCCGTCTTCCTGCATTAGAGGAACGAATGAGAAGCCAAACAGCTTCTTTTCCCCCTTGTCTTTTGCTGGAGAACACAAACACAGTATATTACAAGCCACTTAAAGTCCTTAACAATAAAATACAGCTTTTACGCTGGAACTAAACACTGACAGTTAATCTGAAGCTTTAGGCCAGTACATGTCTGTGACTCTTTTTGAAAAAATCAGGAAAAATAGTTTTGTATGCTGGTGTTAAGGAGCAATATGCCCTTAGACCAGTCATCAATATATAATGATTAAATTAACAATTCATATTCATTAATAATTACATTAACCAGTCATTTCGTAATTCTGAGGAAGAAAGAATGGATAATGGACAATTATTTGGCAAATATTGTTTATATATATAATTTTTTTATATATTAGTATATTAATATATTTTACTCAAGATTTTTGCAAGAACTGACTACAATTATATGAAATAAGATTAAATCAAATTATATACATATAATGAAGATAAATGTTATATTAATATTAATTAATATATATTAAATAATATTTAACATTATTATTTTGTAATTATTAAAATAATTATTTTATACTATTTTATTATTTATTCATGAATTTTACACATTTACATTTTTTTTTTAATAATAGGCTAGTTTATTAACTTTTTACATTTACTCATAACATCACTGTCTTTGTTATCTTACTTAAAAACAAACTTTTGGATTTATTTTTCTCTGTGAGCCATGCCATGTGCAGATGCATTAGTGTCTTTAGACAGGAAAACCACAAGGAACAATGTCTCACACATTCAAAAGTCAACTATTGAATAATATAAGAAAAATATAAGCCAAACGAAATGACGTGGCCAGTGACTTGATTGTGTCATTTCATTTAAAAATAAACCAAAGCCGCATCAACCAATCATTTGGCTCCAGCATCATTATTCTGAATAAAAACCTTGATTAAAAACCTTGATTCTCAACCCTACACCAGACCAAAACTAGCATAAACCGATCTGGACCAGCACAAAAATTCATACTGGTCTTCCAGCAAGGATGCTCAATAGATCAGTGAATGATGGCCTTCAGATGATTTGAGGTGTTTTGGTGTACAGGAAGTCTATACATCTGACAAATACAGAACGCTTAGGTTGCAGAGCACTAATTCCAAGTATGGGTCACCATACTTGGCCACATGTCACGTCACTTTCACTTAACTTGAAAGTATTTGCATAAAAAAGACTCCCTTGGCGATCTCCACTTCTGGATTATATTACTTGCCCATATTAAGTGCCCATTAGTGATGCTCTGACTCATACGGTTCACTGCTACATCTCCTGCACTTTCAACACTCATTTGAAATTCAGCCAATTTAACTTCTCTCAAACTCCTCACTCTGCATCAACAAAGTGAGGGAAATACTGTCTTGCCTCAGTCTTATGGGAATATGAAATGCATCTTAAAGCGAGGAACAAAAACAACAATGGTTTTCTCAGCAGTCATGTCGGACTTACTGGAACAGTGGCGGAACTCGAAGCGGACATGAGAGCCCCGGAACATGTCGACTGGGATGGGCAGCTTGATTAGCTCCGCCCACCGCGGGCTGTTGTTGTGGTAAAGCACAAAGGCGTGATACTCGTCTCCGCCCGGCTCGCCTGAGCCCACGGCCACAAACCCCTGCAGAGAGACAGTCAGCAGAGACTGAGTGTGAGAGGATACGGAAAACCACAAACCTCTCACCGCTCCACCTCGATGGCTGTTTGTCAGCCGTGAGTGTGAAAACAATATATGCCAGATTTAGATGAGCTTAACACTGAGGAAGTTATCTTTAATATTATTTCATATTACCTTAGCAATGTGTTTTTTGGTTTTGGTATCCCAGATTGTGTGTACTCATAAGAAAGCAAGGGAAACAGGACACATTTATGAGCCTAAAAACCTTGAGGATCTGTCCATCGGCGTCCAGCGCGTAGACGGTGACTTCAACGTTCCTCGCCACGCTCTTTATATATATATATATATATATATATAAACAATTTTAAATAAAAAGTGGGAAAAAATATTTATTTAAAACAACTTTTTGACAATGTAATAATAAAAAATGACACAGCTTTGTTTGAAGAAAAAGGAAGGTCAAAACACACATTTTGCCCTACATATTACCTATTTAGTTAACTAGTCTAAGTTTAGTCTCTAGTTAAATGCTTTGATCAGTGACTTTGAGGGTCTTAAATCACCTTCAAATGGGATCGAAACTACAACTGTTTGCAATTCGGAACTCTTAGCAAGATTTGCAACAAGAGTGCATTTTCAACATGGATTTTCAATGTTAAAATGAAACCACGAGTCCAAATGGATGCCTTCACACAACACTCATTTGAAATTCAGCCAATTTAACTTCTCTCAAACTCCTCACTCTGCATCAACAAAGTGAGGGAAATACTGTCTTGCCTCAGTCTTATGGGAATATGAAATGCATCTTAAAGCGAGGAACAAAAACAACAATGGTTTTCTCAGCAGTCATGTCGGACTTACTGGAACAGTGGCGGAACTCGAAGCGGACATGAGAGCCCCGGAACATGTCGACTGGGATGGGCAGCTTGATTAGCTCCGCCCACCGCGGGCTGTTGTTGTGGTAAAGCACAAAGGCGTGATACTCGTCTCCGCCCGGCTCGCCTGAGCCCACGGCCACAAACCCCTGCAGAGAGACAGTCAGCAGAGACTGAGTGTGAGAGGATACGGAAAACCACAAACCTCTCACCGCTCCACCTCGATGGCTGTTTGTCAGCCGTGAGTGTGAAAACAATATATGCCAGATTTAGATGAGCTTAACACTGAGGAAGTTATCTTTAATATTATTTCATATTACCTTAGCAATGTGTTTTTTGGTTTTGGTATCCCAGATTGTGTGTACTCATAAGAAAGCAAGGGAAACAGGACACATTTATGAGCCTAAAAACCTTGAGGATCTGTCCATCGGCGTCCAGCGCGTAGACGGTGACTTCAACGTTCCTCGCCACGCTCTTCCCTCCCTTCTCGAACTCGCCCTTCTCCAGCGTTATGTACAGATCATTTCTCATCTCACCTTCAAGAGAACAACATTTGTGGGAAAAATGTTTTTAAATCAACATTTAATGCAACAAATTAGGACACCAGAGATCAGCTTATCAGTAACACAATGAATTATATAAATATATACTTCTTTATGACACAGCTTTGTTTGAAGAAAAAGGAAGGTCAAAACACACATTTTGCCCTACATATTACCTATTTAGTTAACTAGTCTAAGTTTAGTCTCTAGTTAAATGCTTTGATCAGTGACTTTGAGGGTCTTAAATCACCTTCAAATGGGATCGAAACTACAACTGTTTGCAATTCGGAACTCTTAGCAAGATTTGCAACAAGAGTGCATTTTCAACATGGATTTTCAATGTTAAAATGAAACCACGAGTCCAAATGGATGCCTTCACACAGACAGTGAAAAAAATCGAATGACTTTTTACCATGTACATTGATTTTTATGCTGTTTGCTCAGCAGAAAAACCAACAGACCAATAAGACTCAATATTTTTCTCATGTTTCTAGAACTCGAATTGATTCTGGAATGAAAAGGCACTTCACATCAATTGAACAGAAACGCAAAAGCACATCTCTCCTCGACAAGCTGCATGATTTGAAAATGTTGCAGGTTTAATACTTTACACTTCAGGTGTAGCGCCATGAGCGAATGATAAAACATGGAAAGTTTTATCACTATTATGACAGAGGAGCACAAACAGACTTATATGAAAAGTTCATCCCTCCCAAATGACCTCAGCAGGTGCATCCTGTGACTCACGGATAAGACTGCTAACAAATGAACACATTCTCGATCACACAGGAAGTGTATCTACGTGCTCACACCTTGCAATTTTTCATGGTCCATCCGTGCTTCGACACCCTCACCTCAACAGCTCTACATGCACATTTTCACATTGGTGCAAATGTTACGGCCAAAAATAGGCAATGGTTCAGTGCAAACCACATTTATATGATGTACCAGTTCTCATTCGCTCATGTCGAGGAAACAAGTACATTTCCTAAGACTAAAGACATATGTAGATGCATGCATTATTGCATGCTTTGTCCCATGCAGCATGGTTTTAAAATGCACTGTGAGCTACAGGTCACGTTTTTAAAGCATTGCCGCGGCTGTAAACGAAGGGGACAAAGAACTTGTGACAACGAGCAGAGGAAGTGTGGGTTCCTGTATGTGTGTGTAATGCATTTAAGTGTGTGCAGTCCTATTTCAAGACCCAAATTCAAACCAGTAGTCATGCCAACTAACAGCCATATAACGGTTGCTGTAGCAACAATCAGGAAATAAAATCAATGTGAGTTTCCTGGAAGATGGAAACTATATGTGAACACACAATGACAATAGAGAGAAGATCAGACTACAGCAAAAGACCAATAATAAATCGGCCAGCCATAAGGCACGGTTACTGCCAGCGACGGCACATTCATCCAGGAGGCAGCAGACAGACTGCTTGTGCAACCAAAACATCTGGGCCTGTAACGGAAAGACGGAGGGAGAAAACAGTCTCAGACGTACACAGACTGACTGAAGAATGCCACACACACGAAAAATGGCAAGAGCTTCTAAAACTTGCCAGTTAGAATCTGATTGGTTGGCTTTGTGGAATTTCTGGGAGTCAAGGCACGCTGGATTTGATCAGTCTGATTGGAAAAGTCATGTTTGTCAAGGTAGAGCTAGGCTAAAGTATATAGCATCAAAAGCTTCAATTAGAGATTTATGGAGGAGGTGATTTGTTATTATTATAAGTAATTTTGAATGGTGAAGATACAAATTCAGTTTTTTCATGCATTTTGTGCACTGTTTTAACATTGATAGCTTGCCAAAACGCTACTCATTTACTAATTTATTTAGTGGACCAGAATTTATGCTGATAGCCAAATGTATACATAAGTCATATTACAGAGAATGTAATCTCACCTTAATATGTCATGTTCTTTCTTAGTTACACCACCATTCAAAAGTCAGTAAGATTTTCTTAAAAAAAAAAATAATAATAATAATAATAATAATAATAACAATACTTCTATTCATCAAGGATGCAATGAATTGATCAAAAGTGACTTTTATAATATTACAAAATATTTATATTTCAAATAAATATTTTTCTTTTAAGCTTTATATTCATCAAATAATCCTAAAAATGTATCATGGTGTCCACAAACATGAAGCAGCACAACTGTTTTCAACATTAATAATAGTAAATGTTTCTTGAGCAGCAACCATTCAAACAGAAAACAAATCTTTAAAATTGTAATAATACTTCACAATATTACTGTTTTTACCATATTTTTAATCAATTAAATGAAGCCTTGGTGAGCATAAAGGAGACTACTTTCAAAAACATTCAAAAACTTCCTGACCCCAAACTATTGATTGGTTGTGTATATGAGCAAAAAATATGTAGATCTTGAAGCAAAAATGATTTTCACCTGGCATGATGACATCAGAGAAGCCCAGTTTTTTGGTGATGGACACTCCTCTGGTAAAAAGCACCATATATTCTCTTCGCAGCTGTTCAATGTCGCCGTGTAGCAACTGAAGTGCCACCGCCAGACCTAGATTGAACACACACATCGAATTCATTTTAATTTTTTAAACAAAGACAGCATAAAATGAGCTAATTACAGATGATTTTCACAGCTTTCTTGAATCAATCACTTAATGAATGAACCTTGAATATTCACAGGTATGCACAGCAGAGCACATGAATATTCATTAGAAAGCTCTGAATATTATAATCCTCCCACGCTCGACTCTCTTATTTTGAGAGGTTGTGATAAATGTCAAATTTTGCCTAATTGTATTCCGTCCAGAAGAGATTTGGCAGTGTTTCTGGTCAATATCCGAGTGGTTTGCATTTGTGTAAACTGCACTGCTTTTGTGACAATGGTAATGAATATTCACAAGTAATGATGTGAAAGTGATGCTATGTACCGAAAAACACACTATCAGCCCAGAACTGCCTCTTGTAAAAATTTCTAACCACATGAAACTGACTGAAATTGATCCACGCCAACTATCGTCCGCAACTTTACAGGAAATCATCTCTTTACACCAGAGTTATTATAGTTAAAACCATAAAACTTAGCAAAAAACAAACACTAAAACTATTGAAAGTATTTTAGTTACTTCTAAAAAAAAA